AAGTAACATTTAGATAACTGAAATTGTACAACTGAAGCCATGCCCTCGGCCCTCTGTGCAGCAGATCCTTGTCTGTAAATGGGTGATGCTCCTCCTTTCCCTTGACTAGTCTGTCCTGACCAGTTTCCCAAACCACATGGAAATGAGCATCAGCAACTGGAAAGGAAAAGCTCAAAACCCCTATGTCACTGTTGTCTCTCTGCTCTTCAGCTCTTCTGCAGTCAGGGATGAAGCTGTGCCCTGTCCTCACTTTTGGTAAGTCAAACTGCCCCTGCTTGGCACCCAAAATTCAGACAGTGATAGGAATTGAGGTGCCTATGTCCATGCACACACCTCTCAATTTTGAAGGGGAGGTGAAATTATCCAGATCAGATGCTGTGTCCCATGAACCTGCTGGAGAAAACCTTTAGTGATCTGCCAAGGCATCCTCAGGCTGACAACAGCTTTTCCAAATGCCATCCAGCTTGTAGGCGATAGGGAAAGCTCAGTAAATAAACCTTCCTCGGGTGCCATGCTCATCCTCATGGCATCCCAGGGCCTTTTGGCAGCACTGTGGTGTGTTGACTCATCCACTGGACATGTTTGTTCTCTTCCTGCCAGGAGAAGTATGTGGATGGCTTGTTTTGGTAGGGGTGTTTGTCTTGTTTTAATTATTTCTTGGTATTTGTGCTTGAGGAGAGAGCTGGCAGCAAAAGCGGGGATGCAGGGACATTCCCATGAAGAAGGTTCCCCCTCTTTTTGCTAATAAATGATGGAACTGCTCCAAAGAGTGAGGAAGATGATGGTGCATGAGCACATTCTGCTCTATGCCATCCTAGGGATTATTTCTAGTAGATTTCCACTATTCCCTCGCTAAAGAAACTCTCACTTGCTGCAAGTTTTAAGCAGCACAAAGTCAGCAGTGTGGTCTAAGGCACTTGATGGCCAGAGCAGATCTGAGGAGCTCTTATCTGTGGAGCTCTTGGACCAGTCCTTGCCAGCTTGGTGTTGGGGATCATGGGAATTTTGTGCCACTCACGGATACCAAATAAGCCTGGCACATTTGCTGCGATCTACAGGAGCCCAGGAATTTATCCACAGCATCATTTGAAGATACAGGGAATTGCAGTCCCAGCCTCTGCCTTCAGGTGGGGAAAGCTGACGTTGCAGCTCCAGTGGAAAAGGACATTCAGAGCAACAATTTCCAAAGGAGGCTGAGTTATTGTTTTGCTCAGATAAGCCCAGGAACACTGTGTGAAGCTGTGTGCACACAGCAATAGTCGAGTTCTCTGAGCAAGGGAATTCAGAACTGTCAACAAGGAGGGAATTACTGCTTTGGGGGATTGAAAACATTCATAAAAAATTCCTGGCTTCCAGCCTAGTCCATCCCATTGTTGGCTGAGCTCACAATTGTGGATTTTTGCTTTGAGGATGATTTCCAAGTTTTTTTCCCCACTTTGCTGTAACACATAGACAAAAAGGTATATCTTAACCTGGACTAGTGAGTTCCAAGCCTTCAGCCAAAGGCCACTGACACCATGGGGTTTTGCAGGGCTGTGCTGGTTTGTCCCCACAGAGCTGCTGGCTTCTTGCAGGGACCAGTGCAACAGCTGTAGCCTGAGCCCAGCAAGATGTATGTGTGTAAATCGTGCTGCTGACATTGGATTTTAACTTGTGGGCGTCCAACACTGCCTTTTCCAGACCGTGAGAGTCCAATTCCCCAAACTCGGAGGAGAACTGGCCAGGAAATGTGGGGTTAAGATGATACTTCCCACATGGCCCCACTACATAACTTTAACTCTGTCCCCCTGGGAATGGCAGTAGGAATTGCAGAGGATCTTATCCCTCCTTGGCTGTACTTGATACATAAACTCAAGATATCAACATCGAGCCAAAGGATTAGAGGATTACATCTATGCTGTTAAATGAAGGAGGGTCCTGGGTTTATCCATGGCCCCAAAGTGGATGGTCATGAGGGATTGAGAATCATCATTCTTTTTGGCTTGTGGAGAGATTGAGTTGAGTATCTTTGGTCATGATGCGGGTGGGACCGATGCCTGGAGGCATCCAGAGGGGATCCCATGGAGATTACTCACTGAGCACTGCATGGATGTGGGAAAGGAGTGTTTGTCCTCATTGCTTGGCAGCTGGGCGCTGCAGCAGGGCAAGTTGAAATGGATTAGGGGTCTCTGTCTCGTATTCATCCTCTGTGCCTTACCCTCATGGGGATCTGTCTGGGTTTCAAGTTTATGTGGTGTCCTGATTTTTCCTTTAGCGTGTGCTAGTCTTCAAATACTATTTTTCTGCCATGATTTCTTTTCTTGCCTCCTTTCCTGCCCTCCAGCAGGACCCGCTGTCAGCATGTGACCTGGACACATGAGCTGTCCTTTATTCTAGTGCCAAAAAACCCCACAACATAAAAAATCCAGACCAATCTTGGCAGTCTCCTTCAACAGGATTTATCTTCCCAGCCCTTGAAATACCCTCCCAGCCCTGCAAAGCAATCCATCTCTCACCTACTATTACAGAGTTCATCTCACAGACCTAATGGAGTACATGAGCCCTGAATTGGCTTCCACTAATGCTCTTGGTGGCCGGGTCTCTGTGGGAAGCGAGCTGGGAATTCATTTTGAAAATCAATGAGGATGCCAATAGAGCAGCTTTCCCTAGGGAAGTGACATGCTTTTACTAGGCATGGCCTCCTGCCCCCCTTCATCCCCCATTTTCATTTGTGTGGTTGGAGTAACTGTGGAGTAATTCATCCTAATTTCAATGAGTGCATCTTTTGCACTGTATTCTCTGGTTTCCCCAAATCAGACTGATTTTTGGGGAAAAATTAAGGTCTCCTGGCAGCGCAGAATGCCAGAGCTCCCTGAAGTGTTACGATTTGAAGTTGCTGTGCCCTGGAGTGTTGCTGGGGACTGTCTCCTCTTTGCAGCCCCATCTCTCCCCTTAGGCTGTGTTAGCACAAATAAATCAGTGTTATTTCTAACTCCTGGGTGTGTTTTGCCTTGCCATGACATTTTGATGCAATGGCAAGTGCAGAGCCTGCAGGGATAGTGTGAGAGGGCAGCTCAGAGCTATTGGAGGGACCCCGACACAGTGCAGTTCATAGTTGTCCCCGTAGGTGACCTTCATGCTGGGATGGGAGCACAACACCAACCTGTCATCCTCACCATGCCCAAAGAGTCTTGGCCAAAGCACAGTGCCATGGGCAGTTCTTGGTGGTGATTTGGGAGGTGGCAAGATGGGGTTCTGAGAGGTACTCTGGGTGCAGCACCCCTGTTTTTGGTGCCATTGTGGGTTCTCATCCTGGTTGATCTCAAAGCACTCTGTTTGGAATTTTCATAGCTCTCAAGACTCCTTTTCCAACAGGGATCATTCTGCACTGCTATGGGATTAATATTTAATGAGAATGAGGGTCAAGACACTGTTTTGTCCGAGGACACCGAGACGGCCATTTACTCCTATGAAGAGCCCCAGGGGATCTTTAATGCCCATGCAAAAAAGACAAGAATCAGAGTTTTAAGCTGTCATCCCCCACCATTAATGTCAATGTTAAATATCGATCCTTTCTCTGTTTAGCACAAACCAAACAACACAGTCAAGCCAGGCTCTTTGGCTTTTATTAATGTACTTTTTGTGCACTGGGTGAAGTTTGCAGTAACACCAGGGAAAAAATGTAGCAGCAGTGAATGAGCAGCAGACAGATTGATTTTGTATCTTGACATGAATCAGAAGTTGGTGAAAAATCACCCTGTGTGGAGCTTCTCCTTGTCTGAGCCACGACAGCCGCTTTGTAGAGAACTCATTTCTCTGTAGCATAAAAGGAGTCGGGAGCAAAATTTCTGGGTAGGATCTGGAATTTGAGGGCAGGAATAGGAAAAAAGAGGTTGGTAATCTATAAAATGTCCCTCATCCATGTGTTGGAGCATGGGTGCCTGAAGTCAGATTTGAAGAGCTGGTGAACATCGTGTCAGGGAAACCTGAGGTCTATCCCAAAATTAGCGGTGGCTAGAAAATATGTGGATTTCCCCTTTTTATTTGGGTTTGGTTTCTTTCTGTGTTTTGTATCCGCACCAAATAAATGTAAATCACACTTATTATATGAAATGTGACTTCTGCAAACCACAGTGAACAGTTTTCACATGTCAGGAATGCATGGATGGTCTTCTGTGTGGTCTTCTGCAACCAGAGGTGGATCCGAGTTTCCAAAATATTCTGCAGCTTGTGGGTTTTCTGGGTGTTTGGTTTTGTTTTAGCTTTTTTGGTTTTGGTTTATTTTATTTTTAAATGAGGATTTACAGCTTGGCTATAAAAATTAATTTGTGGTTTGAATTAATGAAGCACACTTATGAGAGGGCTGGAGTAGCTGGGTGATTATTCCTGACCTCTGGGATATTCTCCATAGAAATTAATTTAATATTTTAAAGTCTATTTCTCCTTGAGCAGGGGGACTGGGCACTAAGAGTCTCGCCTTGGGTCTGCATCCCTTTTTATTCACAGAAAACAGCAGCAAGTCTCTTGAGGTCTCTTGAGAATTTGGAAACGTGGGAATATTTTTCATCTCTGCTGTCATTATATCTATCCAGATCCCCACTCTGTTCCTCAGTTAACCCAAGTGTAAAGGGATAGCAGTGATGCCCTTACGAAGAGAGATGGAGGTGACTTAAATCTCATCTCACTGGGGTGTGAAATCGCCTCTCTTTTAAATGAGATTTTAACAACCCACTGAGCTGCCCATGAAATAGGCTGGCATCCCAGCAAGCCACTAAGCACGTGACAAAATATTATAAAATTATGAAATATGATTTATTATAAAATATGATAAATATTTCTTTCCATACAGTACCTGTAGTTGCATGTGCTCTGAGTAGAGAAGCCGAGAGAATCGCTTGGAGCCATTCGCAAACCACGCTGACCTCCATAAATGCCAGAGTATTTACGTAAAGAAAACCCAGGGAACATGGGAGAGGGGTGGCTACATCTAGCACTCACAGGTGTGTTTTCTCCCTGCACAGACACCCTGAGGAGCATTGCCTCCATGAACCACGCCCCACGCTCGTCCCCAGCAGAGCTCAGCAGTGCCAGCCACCACCTGCTGCGAGAGCGCAAGTCCTCAGCGCCGTCCCACTCCAGCCAGCCCACCCTGTTCACCTTCGACTCGCCTGCCAGCCACCTCCAGAGCACCCTGTCTGCCAGTGCCCCCCAGGACTACCTTTTTCTCCACCAGTGTATGAGCAGAAAGTCAGAAAATGCAAGGTATTGTAGCCCACCCACTCGGGGACAGCTGAGGGGAGGGCTGGGTATGAATGGCTAAGCCCACCTCCGTCCTTGGAGGTCTGCAAAACCCGTCTGGAGAAAGTCCTGAGTGATGGTCTCGTCTCATGGTGGTTGGGAGGAGGAGAAGGTCAGAGTTGTGACCTCACAAGCTCCCAGCTTTCCTGGCTTTTCACGTGGTGTTAAAAACTAGCTGAATGGCCAGACCCAGAGGGTGGTGGTCAGTGGCATGAAGTCTAGTTGGAGGCCAGTCACTAGCAGTACCCCAGGAGTCAATACAGGGTCCGGTTCAAAGGGACATGAAGTTGCTGAAGGGCCTGGAACATCAGGAAACACTTTTTCACTGTGAGTGATCACTAGCACAGGTTCAGGAAGTTCAGGAGTCTCCATCCTTGAAGATATTGAGAAGCTGTCTGGGCACAGTCCTGCCGCAGCTCTAGGTTACCCTGCCTGAGCAGATGACTTCTACAGGTCTTTTCCAACCTCAACATTTTGTGATCCTGCTTTTAACAAGGAAAAGGACAAGCCAAGGAATGGGCAGGGTTTGCTCCACTCTGCTGTTCACCCCTTCCAGAGTTCCCTATGCTTCGTGGCAGCTGGTGGTGCACAGTGTGGGATTTCTGAGCCAGCGACAACTCCCCGCCTCCAGACCCAGCCGGTTGCCTTAAATAGCCAGGAGTTTTTTTGACGTGAAGAGTTTTGGCTCGCGGGAGCGGGCGAGGAGGGAGGGAGGGAGAGACAGTCGGAGCCCAGCTGGCGTGGAGTGAGAGCAGAGCTCAGGCTGCAGCCTCCACTGGGCTTTCCTGCTGCAGCTGACTTTCCCCACTCAGAAAACAACAACAGAAAAGGCTCAGAAAAATTAACTTCAGATGGAGTTAATGCAACTGTGTTTCAAAAAAAAAAAAATGGCCCTCTTGTGCTCCAGCTGTGAGGATACCTAAAAGCCATCCTCCAGGACTATGAACGGGGCTGGGACTTGGAGGAGAAGGGAGCAAGCACCAGTGCTTTGGTGAGCAGAAATAAACTGGCCAGTGGTTGCTTCTGCAGCTGGGCCAGAAAGAATCATCTGATCAATGCCCAGTGCATGGGGCCAGGCTGCAGGACTGCTGGGAATCCCTCCCCTTTCTGCTCTGGAGCTCTTACTTTACTCATCCATTAAATGAGGGTAATAGTAGTTAATTGGCAGGCAGTGCAGAATAATTAACCCGTGAGATGTTTCAAATGCTCGACCAAAAATACCCTGACAGAACCCAAACCACTTCTGTGTGAACTGAGCTCCAAAAGGTGGCAGGGATTCATTTGTCTTATCACAGGATCACTTGCCTTTTCCCCTAAATAAGTTCTATTTCTGAGCGCCATCTCGTGCTGGCTCCATGAAACAGAGTCCCTGTTGTCCTTGCAGAGCATCAACCACACCGGAGCAGTATAAACCAGCATCTCCCAACTTTTCCCATAGGACTGGCACTTTCCCAGTGATTTGCCATCACTGGAATCTCTCCCCATAACCATTTCACTTTTTCTCACCACAATGATTGATAGAGGGCAGAACTTTGTTCTGTGGGGGGGTGTTTATGTGGGGCTGGCTGAGCCCTTTCTGACTGGGAGAGCGTGGTCCCCAAAAGCCTGAGCCGTGTAAGGGATAAAGCAGAGATAAAACAGTAGATGAGGAGAATACCTTGAGGGGAATCAGCAGAGGAGCAGTGGCTAACCAGCAGTTGTTAGAGGCCCGAGATCTCTGTGCTTAGCCTCTGTTCTGGTAAGTGTCCCCAGGCATCACCACATGTAAATCGAGGAATCATTACCAAGGCATGGATCTAGTGACACTGCCTTGCTCACCTTGGAGGACTCAAGGGCTTTTACAAGTCTGAAATTAGCCCTGAGGTTCATTCCTCCCCCACCCCGTGCACATCAGGGCTGCAAACCCCAGGTCCTAGCTGGGGACTTCTATTACTTCCCTAGTCCTTGTCCTGCAAGATGACAGGATGATGACATGGCTGGTGACTTTGAAATAATCCCCATCAGGAATATTTTGTCTGCCTCCTGTACTGCGGATGGGTGGTCAAGGCATGATGGCAATGCTGACAGATTGGCACTTTGCAACTGGGCCCTCCTGGGATGTTGTCAACTGCTGTGAAAATTGCCCTTTTGGAGCAGTTTATGTCTGGACAAAAGGCTCGTTCTTGCCCTGTCATGGAGCTGGATGCATGTACCTCTCACCTATGACAGAGGCATTTTGAAGGTGTTTCAGGTTTGAGTGGCCTGGGGACATGTTTGGAGGGGTCTGAGGTGTTCTCATTGCTCTGGGGTTGGGCAGTGCAGGTCAGTAAGGTGATAAACAGAGGGGGCAGAGCTCTCTACACCCAGAACCGGCTCTCTCCCCACCTTCAGCCCCTTTCTCCCCTCCCTCTGCAGGAGTGCCAGCTTCTCCCAAGCCACAAGGTCTGCCTTCTTCATGCGGAGTGACACGGCGGTCCAGAAGCTCTCGCAGGGCAATGGGCACTGCATGAACGGTGTTGGTGGGCAGCTCCACGGCTTCTACAGCCTGCCAAAACCCAGCCGGCACAACTCGGAGTTCAGGGACAGTGCCTACGACCTCCCGCGCTCCTTTGGTTCCTACACCCACCCCAAGTCGAGCCTCACCAGCTCCGAAACTGATAATGAGGAGGTCTACACCTACAAGACTCCCAACAACACCCTATGCAAGGAGTTTGGGGAGCTCTCCACGGACTCCTATGACATCCCTGCCACCCCACTCTCCATCTACCAGATCCCCAGGACATTTACACTGGACAAGAACCACAACGCTCTGGCTGTGGCTGCCAGCGACTCACCTGCTGCACCACCCCCACGGCCCCCAAAACCCGGGCAGACAGAGCCACGGTGGGGCAGTCCACCCCAGCGGCCCCAGCCTGGTGAAAATTTAGGTCTCACCCCCATGGCAGCCACCATTCCCCGGAGAAACACACTGCCAGCAGTGGAGAACAGCAGACTGCACCGAGGTGAATTTGGGGGTGGGGACCTGGGGTGACTTTGTGCTATCCAGCGGCCTTGGGTGGATCAGTCCCACTGGGTTGTGGTAGGGCTTGGGTGTAGGTGGCATCAACCAGGAGGTTGAACACAGAGAAGCTCTCCCCAGCCAGGATCTGGCCCTTTTTTTTGTCTTCAGCGGGCAAGGAGAGGCATCCACAGAATGGGCAAGGAGAGGCATCCACAGAATTCTGCCCAAAAGTGCTGTTCAGCTGGCTCTTGGCTGTGTTGTACCTTGAACCCAAACCCCAAACGTGCTTGCTTATGCAGCCCTTCGCCAGATTTTTGTGATTTCAGCCATTTTTAGCTTACCTTTACTTCAATTCGTAACCAGATTTATCAGAACATACTTCAGCCTGGAGCTGCTGTGGTTTTGCTCACCAAGGTGGGTGAGCAAAGCCTTGGTTTTGCATATCTCCAAAACCCAACATCCCCAAGAGCAGCAGAAGCACAATTGCCATTGGCCGTGGGCAGGCTGTAGGTGTACATGCTCTTTCCAGACTTTGTGCCTAGGATGAGATAGTTGCAAAGTGACTTAGAAAAGGTGGCTGGGGAGAAAATACGCTGTAAATTATACACACGGCTCTCTGAAATGCTTCTTCCACCTCCTCTTACCTAAATGCCCACACTTAGGCTGTGATTAGACCCATGCTCAGCAGTAGACAGACTGGTCTAAGAGCTTAGCACCCATCCTTTCCTTACTGGAGGCTACCAGCCTTTACATTTACTGAGCAAGCTCTAACAGAGCTCTCCCTTAACCCAGTTTTGTCACCATGATCTGCATTATCTGACACCTTTACCCCTGGGATTTTGCAGCACTTCAGCAGAGCCAGGGTTAGGGTAGGTCTGCATGGCACATGCAGTTGTGCTGGTGCATCAGAGAGACACAAATTGGGAAGGAGCATAGCAGAGAGCCTGTGACATGCTAAAGACCATGTCTTCTCATCAGCATCAGCAAGAGCAGATACTGCCCTACCAGTGCCTGGATCTTGTTTTCAGGGACCCCTTTTTATTGGCAGTTGTGGTGAGACATGTGCCTTTGTGGTTGTGGTTGCAGCTTCTTCTTGTGAGACGTACGAGTACCCCCAGCACGGGGGCGGCAGCGCTGTGCAGTCAGTGGAGTCCATGAACGATGGCTACAGCTCCTACCTGGTGAGTTGGCCTTGGTGTGGGCAACCACGCTGCAGGCACCACTTGCACCTTGCAGATTCAGAGACAGGTTGGTTCCAAGTTGACCCTCGCAGCCCAGTCGTGCAGAGCTAAGTCAAGAAGGGGTCTGTTAATGGTTTCACTTAAAACCATGATGGCCTGCAGAGAACAGATGGAGTGGCAACTTCCTAACTCAGCATCATGGGCAGAGCTTTGCTTCCACACAGACTATCTGCTGGCAGCTTTGGCCCAAAATAAAAACTACCCAAGAGTTTGCCTGCTTTCTGAAACCCTGGGATGCTGCTGAGCTAAATGTTGACGTGTTGCCAGAACAACCTCTTTTGTGCACTTTCTGTGATCTTCTGAGCTGTAAATGACATTAAAGCAGCCTTTCATACTGCATTTTAGTCATGGACAGAGCCTAGGGAAGAGAGACTTTCCAGGTTAAGCATGCTTCTCCAGCTCACTCTGATCATGAGAAGATGCTGGTCTGGGTGATTAGGACCTTTCCGAAAACTCAGGATGTTGCAATGACTTGGAAACAAAGGAGGTAGTGCAAACTCTCAGTGCAAACTGATGGCCAAGGAGGGGACAGATCATTCCTTCCCTCTGTGCTTAGATCTTAGAGTGAGTCTCCCCTCAGGTGTTGTTTGGTTATGGTGAAATGAAGGGTTTGTAGTGGATGGGGTTGAGCAGTGCCTGGTGCTCACAGCACATCCTCCCACTTGTCCCCCAGCAGGCCAAGGCAGCGGTGGCCCGCTCGCACAGCACCGACTCCGAGGACAACTACGTCCCCATGAACCCTGGTTCCTCTCCCCTCATCCACGCTGAGAAAGCCAACGACAATGCCCAAAATCTCTACATCCCCATGAGCCCTGGGCCGCATCACTTTGACCTGGTGGGGCTGTCCTCAGCCACCCTTCCCGTGCACAAGGGAGGAGCCGTGGCTCAGTGCCACCGACGGCTGAGTGAAATCCAGCCCCCACCAGTCAACCGCAACCTCAAACCCGACCGGAAAGGTAAGAACGGTTGGTGTGCTGGTTGGTTGTGCACAAATCTTCCCAGGAATCCTTCTGTTCTCCTGATACTTCAGGTTACATCTGTGAAGTTGTGTCCAGTCCTAGTTGGGTTGTGCTCAGCTACTGCCAGTACAGTCAAACCTTCAGATGTCCCCCGTCCCCTTCCTCTTTCAGGAGCTCTGTAATGCAAATGTAGCTTTCGTGGTGCTTGAACAGTCCTTCTCAAACCTTCCAGGCCTTTACAGGAGATGCATGTCACAGGCAGGATTTCACTCCCTTGGCCTGCACCCCTCCCTATGCTCCACCCTCCACCCCAGAATCTCAGTGTTGTGTTCAGATGACACAAATTTTTCCTAGTTTCCTGCTGGCTGGTTCCAGGCAGTTCTTCCTTCAGGACTTTGCTGACATTCTCCAAATCTCTCCCTAATCCATTGTCTGACAGGTGGCCAAGGAGATCCTGAAGAGGAGGGCTCCCATCTCTAGAATGTCAACAGCTAACCCCATGAGCACTCTGTTCAAGGGCTGGGGTTGGAGTGTAGCACTCTTCCACCTAATGAACCATCCATGATGAGAAGAGCTTTTATGCTACCCTGCAGATGTCATTTCCCATTCCCTATGGCAAAACACTCCACACAGAGGCAGTTCAGGCTTGGCAGAGCCTGGTCTTGTCCCCATCTAACGCATTAGTTGCCACAGATATCTAACGAATGGGTTTGGAATTTTTAGCAGATCTCCATTCCCTGGAAGGCACATTCCCCTTTTGGGACCACCCATTCACTTTGAGGCTGTGGAGCAGAGGGAGAAATTCACTGTTTTCTCTGAATTCTGGCATAAATGAGCATAGGGGTTTTGGTTCGGAGTATTTGTCATAAGCGGAGCACTGGGGGGCTGATCAGTAGAATGGGAAGTAATCAACCATCCGTTGTGGACACTTTCATGCCAGTTATGGATGCTGATTTGTAGGAACATGCTGCCTCTATATAAAGGCTTTTCCCCTCCCCAGCAAAGCCATCACCGCTGGACCTGAGGAACAACACTGTCATCGATGAGCTTCCCTTCAAATCGCCAGTCACAAAATCCTGGTCCAGGCCAACGTGAGTAGTGGCTGTGGGATGAATTCCTGCTTTGCTTCAACAGCAGCTCTCTGGTCTCGTTTCTCACTGGTGTCCACATGTAGCCATGCTGTCACCTCTGCCATGGATTAAACATTCCCCACATCACAGCTGGTGGCAGGAAGATAAATTAATTTAGGTTGGGATTTCACATGAAAGCCCAGCATGTGGCTAACAAGCTAATTAAGATCCCTTGAAGACATTTCCTGTTTCTGGGAAGTGACAACTACTGGAGAGCCATGGCTCTGACCTGGGAACTGTGGTCCACCACGATTCATGATGCAGCTGAGCCAGACCAACTCAGCCACGCTGTGTGGGGGGCATGATTTCACATCCAAGCTATCCCCCCCAAAACCCCACTGTCGTCTCAAAGCACAGGGTTTGACCAAGGGTGTTTTGATTACCTTGAAAGCAAAGCTTAGCCTGAAGGAAGTCAGCAAAATTAAACTAAAGCACTTCAGAGCTATGTCTGCCAGCCAAAAATAACAGGATTCGCACAATTCCAACTCTGCTACTAATTCATGGTCTGATGTTGTCCAGTAAAAGGCAGAAGCAAAGCTTGGCTGCTATGACTCCTCTAATAAATTGGATTGTGTGGAGACTGACTGCAGGGCATGAGCGCTGTGTGCTGAAATCACTGCGCTGGGAAGCAGCAAGCAGGGTTTGATTGACAAGAGATCTGACCCTGGAGAAGCTAATGGATTTTTCCCCCTATCAGCTAATCATATGACCCTGCTTTACTGAAAGGCAACGAATAGCTTTTTGAGACACATGCTTTAATGCCAGAAGCTGATTTCATTATTTTGTTAAGTGTAATTAGATTTGGCCAATTGAAAGCAAGACAATTCCTCAGAGGATTTGTTTTCCGGCAAAAAATTTGGATAGGGCCTGTACAGTAAACAAATCCTGTAGCTGTGGTGAGGCTGGAGGTAAGAGGCTTCACCAAGGCTGCCCCTCTATCCTCCACAATTAAATGTTTCCTGTGAGATGGAAGAGTTCGTGGAATCTGATTTGTGTAGATGAGGGCAAGAGAGTTACGGGTACACGGCAAGCAAGGTGCTACTAAAAATTCTAGAAAGAAAAAATTCTTTCTAGAAGAATTTCTTCTAGAAGAGGAGACCAAACCCAGGGATTTCCAACCTATAGAAAGGACAGGTTGGAGAACCTCAATGCCACCAGCTCTTCTTGATGCCCAGACTGGATCACGGTGATTGTTGCAGGCATCAGGAGCTGCCCTCTGCCATCCCTCCTTGGCAAAGGCCGAGCAGCACCTGCAGCCATCAATAACACATCAACCCTTGTTCTTGCAGGCAGTCCTTCAACGCTGGCTCTCTGCAGTACTGTCGCCCTGTCTCCTCCCAGAGCATCACCAGCACTGACTCAGGAGACAGCGAGGAGAACTATGTGGCCATGGTAAGGGCCCCACAGCTAAGACAGATGGTTCTGGTGGGACATTTGCTCTCCCCAGCTCTGCAGATGCATTCCTAGCTCATGACATGGAATTGCTCAGATAGCACTGTGTGGAGTACATCCTTATGTGCATCCCTGAATGCACAAAACAGGGTGTTTCCTTCTGAAAACGACATGTCTCGTTGGAGTTTTAAATGTGTATGAGAGCAGAAACATGTATCACCTACTTTGCCAGGATTTTAGAGGGGATAAAAATTTATAAGGACTGTCAGGGTGTATTTTCCTAATTAAAGTTGATTTTTTTTCAATTTTTCCCCTAATAGCTGCTGACATCATGTTTCTGTGGGAGCAGGGGCTATCAGAGCAGCAGTAGGGAGTGGCACTGCTTACAGGGAGGAGATTTTGTCTCTCTTGGTGAAGCTACTGACTTGAAGCATATTTTTGAGGCTGTGTAACTAATGGGGTAGAGGAAGTCTGTGCTCTTTGCAGCATGGTTGTGATTAGCAAAGATCCCAGAGCTGGCCTGGCCTCGCTGAGGTGTGGTTCCTGGGACATGCTAAAGCCCACGTCTGCTGTCAGGCATGTGAATAAAATCAGCACAAAGGCAGCAGAGCTGCTCTGATGCATGAAATCAAGAGCATGAGTTGAAATATTTGTTAGCACAAAATACAACATTTGTAGTATCCCAGCAGTTTTTGCACATCCTTGTCCCAGAGGCAGATGAGCAAATACACAGGCTCTTTTAAAGGTGTGTCCAAGATGTTTCATTTCTGGATTTGTGTTAATTTCCTTTTTTCTTTCTTCCTTCCCACTTTAATCCTCATTATCTCTCCTGTCTCTTCCCTGCATTAGCAAAACCCCATTTCTGCTTCTCCTGTTCCTAGTGGTACCAACAGCCCAGCGCCTAAAAAGAGTTCGGGGAGTGTGGATTACCTGGCCCTGGACTTCCAGCCAAGCTCACCAGGGCCACACAGGAAGGTATGGGAGATTCTATAAACTTCTGATTAAAAGTGATGCATTTTAAGGGGTTCTATGCACATTGGCAGCAGCATGGTCCAATGCCCTGGACTGTGGTCTCAGGAATCTCTGATGCTCAGAGGGCTGGAGCACCTCTACTATGGAAACAGGCTGAGACTGGTGGGATTGTTCAGCCTGGAGAAGAAAGGGCTCCAAGGAGACTTTAAACCATTTGCCTAAAGGGGCAACAAGAGAGCTGGAGAGGAACGTTTTACAAAGGTATACAGTGATACTAGGAGGGGTAATGGCTTCAAACTGTCAGAAGGCAGGTTTAGATGAGATATTAGAAAGAAATTCTTTATTATGAGGATAGTGAGGCATTTGAACATGCCCAGAGAAGCTTTGGCTGCCACATCCCTGGAAGTCTTCAAGGCTGGGTTGGATGGTGTTGCTGCTGCTAAGGATTAACCCTGTGTGCACGAACACACAGCAACACGGTCTCCTCTCAAGACAGGAAAGAGAGAGACAAAGTTTATTGTAACACACGCTCCTTAAATATACTCAAACGCTACTCCAGAGAGAACACAGCCCATTGGCCAGAGCGGGCAGCACCTCTTGCACAGATGTTTTCATTATAAACAACAGAGTTCTCAAAATACACACTCTGTAAACAGTAGCAGGTGCCTTTGTTTGTTCCTGGAAAAACCTCGCACCCAGGCCAGCTCCTGGGAAAGGTCCATATTCACACGAAGCCTTCCCATGGGCTACTTGAGGCCTTCTACAGGAAGGGGCTTAGAGCAACCTGGTCTAGTGGAAGGTGTCCCTGCCCATGGCATGGTTGAAATGAGATGATCTTTAAGGTCCCTTCCAACCCAAACCATTCTGTGACCTACTGCTATATTTACTCTAGCATGTCTGCAGCTTTGCAAAGTAGAAGTGCAAAGCAGAAGCATGAATGTGCGGGGTTCAGGGATGCTGATGAGACCACAAATTCAGCTGGAGACCATATACTGAAAAGCTGTCAGGAGGTATACCAAGAAATATCAGAATTGGTTTTTTCCTCCTTCAAAACAACAGGTCTTCCAAGACTAGACTTGTATTTTGCAGCTGAAAGGTGAAGGATAGGGGTTGTATAAACTTTTGTGGCAACCACGAGTTGGCCTCACTTTCTCAAACACTGCCTTGTTTCCTAGGCAAAGCATCCCACTGGTTAGGTCCTTTTATTGTTTGACAGTTGTGCCTTGATGGTTTCTTTCTGCCCAGCAATATTTCTGCAAGTATCACCCATTTAAATTAAATTCCATTCTGGAAAAGTGATTTTAGACCACTAAAAAGCATTATCTGGCTCCAGTTACAAGCAGATGGAGCCTCTAAAATGCTTGTAGAGTAAAAAAAACTCCAGGACTCCAGAAGCTACGGTAAAAAGTATCTCCTTGTTCTCAACACATCTCTTGGGTGACTCTGCAAACATATGTGTTGTTTTGGGGATGAAAATGAGCTAGTGCCATAGGTGGGTAGAGTCAGCACAGCTAAAAGGTATGGAGCTGGTACTTTTATGTGTACATCGTACCTCTAAGAATTCTGGAGTTCTTTACAGGAAAATGAGCAAGATGTAAGGCTGAACTCACAAAACCAGCAGTTAGAGAGCACAGTTACAACCAAACATCCATGTCCCAAAGTTTGTGAGAAGGTAGAAACACACGTGCTCTTTCTACCCTCCATTTGCACTGCAGTCTCATGCCAGCAAGAGGTGGAGCAGATTGAAATCCTTCATCCAGGTGTCTTTGAGAGGTTAGAGGGTGGGTGATGGAGATGTGGAGTCATCAAGAAAGCAGGAGTGGTACTGGTGGACTTGTGGCACCCCCAGTGCTGCTGCAGAAAGGAGTGAGAGGGAAGAGCAGGGATCTGATGAGTGACCAGCTGGTGCCCTTTTCTCCTCCCACAGCCCTCCACCTCGTCAGTCGCCTCAGATGAGAAGGTTGATTACGTGCAAGTGGACAAGGAGAAGACGCAGGCGCTGCAGAGCACCATGCAGGAGTGGACTGATGTGCGGCAGTCCTCGGAGCCTGCCAAGAGCACGAAGCAGTAGTGCCGGCGGCAGGCAGCCAGACAGGCAAATGTCCTGTGGGTTTCCCCCAGCTGCAGCCCCGCTGGGCAGCCAGATCCACTTGGGGTGGATTTCTAAGACTTGTTTGTGGAGGCGAGGGGGTGTCATTGTTTTTTTTCTCTTAAAACAAAACTTAATTTCAGGGGAAGATTTGGCGGATACTGTTTGCCAGTGATAAAGACCAACTATGTTCGGTGGCTAGGTTTGTGCTTTAGCTGCTGGATGCATTATCCAGGAACTTTGACTTAGCAATACCAGGTTTCACCCTACACATCTTTTCCTTACAGCTATTAAAGCCACCTTGTATGTGATAACACTGCATCATCTCTCCCCGTCTTCTTCCATATCGTATCCAAAACCACGCCACGCAGGTTTGCAGCATCTCCCATAGGATATCATTACTCAGCTCTGATTCTCCACTCCTTATGGTTGTCCTCTTCTCTGCCTCCTCCCAGTCCCAAAACTGAGCAAGGACCATTGCTTTTGAAATTACTTTTGTTGTCCTGTCTCTTGTAAATAATATGCTCAAAACCTCTGAGGGTGTTCTCCTCCTGGCTGGACAGCCCCCAAGGTTTTGGTTGTTAACTTTCAGGAGCTTGATGAGCATCTACACCATCCCATTGAGCTGACTTAGGAGCCCAGGACTTGCCCCATCATACACACACATACATGCCAGCACATGCTCACATGGGGTGTCTTCTGTTTATATTCTCCATCATCTCTCAAAGTCAGTGGACTGGAGAGATTGGCTTTGGAAAGGGCTGGAGGGATTGGCTTTGGAAGGTGGTATTCAAGCACTGACCCACTGCCTGTCTGAAACCAATTCCTGTGAATCTGACCCTGAAAACCAAAATTTGCCTTTTGTGGTACCAAAAGAAGCCCATGGAGTGAGAGTCCTACATCGTGGCCATTGTGAGAAGCTCTGTGGTTGAGTATGAGGGGGGCAGGGAGGCTCTGGGGAGCCTGTGTATATGGACTGGCATAAGGATGAGTGACAAGGAGGGAGTGGAAGGCTGCTGGGAGGACTGGGAGAAGGCAGGTGCTGTACTGCAGAGGTTGGTGCTGGGTGAGGAGGTCTGGTGGAATGTTTCTTGGAAGAAAGAAGAGGAGTAATTGAAATGTTGGTTGATGGTGAGGTCATAGGCTTGGGAAGAGGCCGGTCAGGAGAGTCAGGGCAGGGCATTTCAGTGTGAGCATTGTGGTTGGTTTGTGGAGGGTGCAAAACGCTGAACTGTTTTCCCCTCATCTTCAGCAATGTTTCCTCAACACAGAAGTGGGGCTTGCTGACATTAATGACCCTAGGCTCTGATTATGGGTGGGAGTCTGCTGTTGTCCCTTGCCAGAATCCTTAACACATCCAGGCTTTGGGATGGCTCGCCAGGCAGCTGCTGAGCAGAGAGAGAAAAGAAGGACGAGACAGTTTAATGCAGAGATAATAATTCATGATCTCATGAAAACAGGAAGAACTAATGATTGCCATGGAGCAGCCTGATTGCCAGACAGCAAGCGCTGACACGAATAAACAGGCTGACCGCAAACCAAGAGCCAAATGAAGGAGACATTAGAAAGATTAGGTAATAATATTTATTAAAGAGCTGGAGCTATTCTTTCTGCAAGCTGCACCCCTCCCAGTGCCGTGGGCTCTGTGTTCCACCAACACCACCGAGTTGTGTTGATTATTCATGCTTAAGCATTAACACATTTGCTTAATCTTGGTGTGCGCTTGGAAAGGGCCAGACGTGACCCACATGGGGATAGGATACCTTAAGGATAACCCTTAAGGGCTGTGTGCTGCTGTGTGCTGGTAAAATAAGTCTTGAACTTCCAACACCATTTTGTATTTTCTTCTCACATGCCATGAAAGGGAAGGATGTTAATGGAAAGGCTCTGACAACCCTGTTAAGACATTGAAGTGTTGGACTTTTATAGAAACAATGAAGCAAATATCCTAATGTTTATGCTAAAAATAATAATAATTTCTAGATGGGAGAAAAACCCAAAGCCCCAAAGGGGAAGATTTAGCACAGTCAGATGCTTTCTGAAGGTCAGGGAGTGTATTACAGCCTGCAAGGGCCATTGCCCCCTGCTGGGCGCTTGCACACTTGCCTGATGAGATGATGAAACAAAGACTAGAATGCAGTATCTCGTATTTGTATTGCCCCTTTCATCTCTGCATCTCAGGGGAGACTAAACATTGGGCCTGATCCAGACCCCACTGAAGTGTGCATTCATCCATCTGGGAGAGAGCTGCCCATCCCCACCATAAAGAATGTCACTGGGAAGCTGATTCTTTCCTATTTCTGCTTCTAAGCTGTGAGCTTTAGTGGCTCGAGACACAACACAGTGGGTTTGAATGCAATTTGCTGAGTGGGTTCCCTGTGCCTCTGCACTGGGACTAGGTGCATCCAGTGCCCACTCCCATGTTTAATCCAAGCGGTTAATTAAGACTGGAAAAGCCTTTTGTGGTACTGGAGAACCTAGTCTTTTTTTCTCTCTTTTCACAAATGCCTTTGTTCATGAGGCAACCATTGGTATGGGATAGCTTTTTTCCCAGGCTCAGACACTGTGTTTTGATAATTTACTCTCATGAGCATCCCTAGTAACTGGTCCATTGCATTTGGCAGACCAAGGAGCAGAACAGCCCAAAAGCAGCTACTTTACAGCTGCTGGTTGCTGGTCCCTCTCTGCTTTGCAGTGAAGTCTGTGTTTTCACTGAAACAGATACATTCCTCTGTCTTATCCCCTGCAAAGCACCAAGCAAACAGCACCACCAAACTAAGCAGAAGCCCACAGACTCTGTGCCATACAGATATGACTGTACCAACCCCTCCTGAAAGCATTAAGTAATCAATGGCTTCAGTGGAAATAGTCACCCATGACGATTGCTGAGCTGATTACAGCAGTCCCTGGTGATTAATGTTTGTGCAGTATTTAGTCTTAAACCATATTGAAAAGCAGCTGCTTTAATTACACAGTCTGCCAAGAACTTTGTCCTGAAGGCATTGAGTTTATCACATCCACTTTATACTTGGATTCTCAAGTATGACAGGCTCCTTTGTTAGAACTAGGTATTTAAGGAAACTGAGAACAGTGCAAATTATTCATTTTAATTGAAATTAAACTGACTTGAGCCTTCACATCAGAGTCTGCTTTACAGCTCTATGGTTCTATTTAGAAAAGGGATATGCTTGCATGTGTGTGTGTTCATGGAGAAGGGTTGTCTGTGGGACAAGCATCGTGACCTCAGTATTTAGTTTTATAAAGTACCAGATCCATGGCTCAAAGCTTTCCCCGAGCTTGAAAATGACTAAGCACGTGGTTTTGAAGGCAAAAGTCTCCAAAAGTGTGTATCCCTTGCTGTGAGTATGCAAATACTGCTCACCATTCCTCTGGTGAGAGTGTGGGCTGCCTTGGAGCTAATTTGCTCTGAACTGGCATTTGCGTGTTCAGTGGGAAATACATTTCCAGCTCTAAATGGATGCCAGGCTTAGGCTTTGTCTCCAGTTGGCAAAAAAAAAATAATGTGTGAGTGCAGACTGTGCCAGGCCAAAGCTGAGAGTCTGGCAGATAGGGCCAAATGCAGAGTTGGAACCAAAAGGCAGGGAAGGCTTGACTTGTTTGGGTGCTAGCTGGGATGGATTTGAACTCTGGGCCATCAGCCACTGGCAAGGGTGAGATATGGGACAGCATGAGGTTGAGATGAGAGAAGGTAGGGGAATTTGCCAGTAAGGTTTGGGTCGTGGTCCTCACCATGTGCTCCTTTGGCCTGAGTCTCAAGCCAGATATGCAGAGATTGTGGGTTGTGGAATGCTCGGTAAAAGCCGTGCACTGGTGGGATGGGAGCTTCCACCACTCTTGGGCATTTCACTCTCAAGAGGGTCATTCTGGCTGACAATGGGATGCCTGTGCTCTGGCATTCAGGGATGCTTGGTCCATTCACCCAGCTCTGAGCTAGGCAGGAGAAACCCTCCAAGAAATGTGTGGGGACCAGGACATGCTGGGAGACACCTTGCTGAGGGGCTCCCATGAGCTGTTCATGGGGCAGCAGTGCCATGGTTTCACAGGGTTGTCCCTTGAGGTCCCATCTTCATCCTTGGAGTTTTTCAAGACCAGTCTAGGTCAACCCCATAGCTGACCCTGCTTGGAGCATCTCTTCCACACTGAAACCCTGTGCTACTAGGGTTGAGTGGAGACTCTTCCGTGTGAGGGAAGGGGCCCAAGGGGTTTCCTAGAGCCCTGTAACATCCAAAACAGGGATAAGGCCACTTCTCTGTCCATGAAGCCAAGTGGCAAGGCACACAGTTCAAGCCTTAAGGCCATACTCCCCAGAGATAGGACCTAATCTACACTGGACTATCCCTTGCACCTGGGAGAGGGCTGGCAGGCCCAGTCTTCCAGGACATGAACACACATTTCTAGCAACTGGGAGACAGCTTTAACCTGTAAATTTGTTATGCTAGATCCAGAGCTCTCAGCAGCTCCATGCCCCTTCCACACCCTGGCATACCAGGAAAATTTGGTTTGTTTTGGCTATCCAATGATCGTGGCTCCTTGAGAGGGGGGAAGGTACAGCCATGTCCAGGTCTTATGGAAGATATTAAAATAGTTCCCAGGTCCTGTCTGATCTTTCTGGCCTAGGAGGCAAGTCAAGGATGGTTTTCTCAAGTCATGCTTGCACTGTGTTGGTGTTCTCCCACCTGGTAGTAGAAAAGTTCCATTCCATGTAAAAGCTGATGCCCACACTGTGTGTCCCATTGGAGGGATGCTATCTACAGAGATGGATGCAGTGGGGCTGTGATTATGGAGAAGCTCTAGTCCTACAGGAAGGGGGAAGAGCAAAGCCTAACCTTGGCACTAGCCAGAGAACACACATGGCCATCATAGAGCCATCAAGAAAATCAGAGGGACCAGTCTGGCATCAAATCACAAGGGCCAATAAGCCAGTTTAGAGGCTCTGATGAGTCTGAGTGCCTCTCTTCTCTGCCCAACCTTCCCACATGTACACAATGATCTTGCAGCTGTTAATGAGGCTCTTGCAGGTCAAGACGTGCACTTCTTGATCATGATTCCTTCTTGGCTTGGAGCAGTTCATCCCTCTATCAGTCTGTCCTTGGTGTCTCATCATTGTACTCACACTTTTATCTCCTTGTTCCCAACTCCTAGTGTTGTACTGTTGATCGGGTTGCTGATGTAGTGTCTACTCTTACAGAAAGTTGATATGTAGCAAGGTGTCACAATACAGCTGTCCCCTTCTAGCCCACGGCCAGCTGGTCCTGGCATGTGGTGTTCAAGTTTTAACACCAGCCAGTA